AAAACTTTGATCTGAAAAAGTCATTTTGAAGATCATCTTTGTCTTGAGTAAAGAAAAAAAATCTTGACCTCAGTAATAACTACTTAAACAAAGAATTTTTTTTTTCAATTGTCCAAGATAATTTTCTTGAATTTTTAAGTTTAAATATCTTTTATTTTTAATCAAATTCAATTTTCTTATCAGTGTAGAAAGTTTTTGAATAAAAATATTTGTCGTTAATTTTCGTGGAATACTAAAATTTTTATAAATTCTTGGAGTATTCAGAACAAGATAAATGTACTGTTTTTGAAACGAAAAGAGATTAATATTTTTTTTATTTCTATCTATAACGGGTTCGATAGACTTCTAAGTGAAACATTATTCACAAAACATTTCTTTTTTCGCTTTCGTTTGAATTTTTGGTATTCCTTTTAGCCTCTGATTTTTAGACATTTATATACTTACATACATAATATATATTATACATCTCCCCTTATATGTTCTATCTAAAATAATTTATATAAATTAGAAAAAAAATATTAAAATGTTAAAGTGCTGTTAATATGCGTCAGAGCAAATATATTTCTCAAAACTTTAACTTAACATAACAGGTGATGTAAGTTTTGTTGACGCATTTGAGAATCTGATATTCTAATTAGTGTTATATTCATGGTATTTGCATTAGTACTCCAAATTATTTACACTGTTGCAATTTTTCACTGTATAAAGAGAATTCACGAATTTTTAAATTTATTTATTTATTTCCTTGCATAAAAACCCAACAGAAATAGCCAATAACAGGGTCACTAGAGAATAAATTTAACGTCCTTTTACAAGATCATGTTACATTTAAAAAAGATCATATTACATTTAAAAAATTTTTTTTTTGTTCGATAATTTTCACACTATTTTTTGATAGATTTTTTCAAATTTTAGAATTTTTTTGAATTAATTTTTTTACTTTAAGTTCAAAATTTTATAAAATTTTAGATTTTATTGCACCTTACATTAAAAAGGTTTTAACATCTCATCAATTCAAAACTTTAGAACTTTTATACTAACAATTTTCTGCAATTCTCTTAATGTTTTATAAAGAAAATTTTTCAATTTATTTCGTGTTTCACAACAATACGAAAAGGTCTTCTATAATATTTTAAATTAGCAGGACATTTTTTTCACAGAAAAAAAATTTTAACTAAATCTGGAAATTAAATTATAATTACTTGTGTGAATACATTGAAAAGTCAATTGTCTCAAAATTAATTTCTAAGACATTTCTAAGCTAAACAGTTAAGAGTGTTGATTAATAAAATAATTTATTTTCAATTCATAAAACTTTAAAGCAATTGATAGTTATTAAAATTTTAAGTAAAATTAAAAAAAAAAAACAATCATCCGACAGCCTTTTTTAGACTACTCTAAATTAATAATTCATTAATCAAAATCAATTATGAAAATAATTTATAAAAAAAAAAATTATTTCTTCACAATAAAATTGTTCAGGACAATTAAGGACTCATGATGTTTTAAAAAAGTCAGTAATAATTTTAAAACAATAATACAAGACAATGGGTCATAACAAGAATACGAAATTACACGAAATTTCAAAGGATCAAAATGAATAGTTTGCCCGCTTCGGACGCCAGCAAAATTACATCCTAACGTCAGGTATAAAAGAGCAGACTTTCTTTCTGATCCACCTCCGCCGTCAACCTTGACATCGTATTACTGAACCATGACTATTAAAAAGTAAAATAAAACAAAACAGAGGTAATCTTCTTTATTCAAAACATGGATCTATTTCAAATGAAGAAATGCAGAGTACTCTTTATCAAGCATCTTTACGCTGTAGTTAAAAAAAGAAGGACGGAAAAAATAATACTGGTAGTATATGATTGGATGATATTATATGTTTTTGTAGTGTGACGACAATATGTATTTGTTCAGAGTTTTGGTGTATATATCCGGGAGAAAGCGCTTTAGAAGATGTTTGGTTAACCCAAACTATAAAAAAAATACACTTAGAAATATATATCGTAACATAAAATAAAAAAAATTTTAATTTATTTTTTAGAATTAAATATATGAATACAATGCTTGTTACTTATAAGTAATATCATCAAACAGTGGTTGTGAGTTATGATTATTATTACATTTTATAACTATGTACTTACGCTTTTCTGTAGTTACTTAACGGGGGGATTTCCTATGTTGTAACTGGGGAATTCACGTTACAGATTCTGACTACCACACTTTGACCTAATTTATGTGAGTTCAAATTAATTTAAATAATTGTACGAGTAATTGAATCTTTAATTCAAATTTTCTCATAAAAATAATCAATATAATCGTTTATTTATTTATTTCAATTATAAACAGAACTTTTCTTTAATTATTTGCTTTGAGTCAACGTCACATATTCTATTTTATTTCACAGTATAATTTCAATTGTTATTATCATTTTGAAATAATCTTTATTAATATTAAATGTCTTCGCATCTTGTGGAATATATAAATGTTAAGAATATTTGTATTTTTTATAATATTTTTATTGAAGACAGGTTAATTTTTAATTCTGAATTTATTAATTGGCTTTGCCGGTCTATCTTAACGAAAATTTTTAATTTAATTATTCTTTATCTAAGAATTTTATTCTTTTTTGTCTAAGAATTTTTTATTATCGTAAGCGATACCAAAAGATCCAGGTTCGAGTCCTGGTCTGGGCCGTCCGAATTATTTTTTCAGTCAAATTTAACTTTAAATTACGAATTTGTATACGAATTTTAAAAAATATCGTATATGCCTGGAAGGAATACATTAATAAATAAATAAATAAATAAAAATAAATTTAAGCTGAAATAATTTTGCGTAGATGTTTATTTTGGCGGATTGTTTTTATGGATAATCAGTAGGCGGATTTTATTTTAGATACATGTGATAAGAGTGCTAACATCGTTGAGAAAGTCAATGGACAATTCCACTTTCCCTCTCTTTGTAAATAAGACTTCTGTGTATTGATATTGTCTATTTCTCCATGACGTGTGAAAGAGTAACGATATAATGATAAGTAGAAAAACTTGTCATTATCATTATGATGAACACAGTAATCACTCATTATAAGCTTTTATTAATATCTATAATTATAATTTTGTGAAATAGTAGCATACAAAGTGATTGACTTTTTACTTCCACTAAATTAAATATATTGAATGTAATGAGCGTATGCGAAAATAAATTTCTTGGATTTTAAAACTACTGTCAATAATACATGCATTGAGGCCACTCCTACGATTTTTTATAATTTTTACTTTAAAAATCGCTGGAAATATTAAATTGTCCTTGAAGTAGTCGCATTTTATGCTCAACTACAGGTAAGATGTTTTCATTTAACTTCGTATTTTTTCTTTAAACTTAAAACTTTTATTATTATTTATAATACATTTAAAAATATATGAATGATGTCTCTATTTACAAGTATGTTAATTTTATTGATTTATTTTACAACTAAATTATTGTTGAGTCTAAATAGTAAATGGTAATTCTAATCTACCTTTCGCTCGTAAAAGCTCGAATACATAATTCAACATGTTTCAGCACTTGAAAATTAAAAATATTATTTAGTAAAGTAAGTATATTAAGAGAAGAAAATTTTTATAACAAAAACATTCTTATAACAGTCAACGAAAGAATTTATTATCGTGATCATAAAACAATTAAACTTTTATTTTAGAATCTAATAGATATATTATTCAAGAAAGTTTATTTATTCAAAAAATGTTCTTTGCGATTACAAAATAGGACTGACTAAAAATTTGATTTGATTGTATTTAGATTTTAAAATTTTTCAAAAAATAATCAATCGCTATATAATACAAGATATTAAATAACACAAAAAAGTCAAAAATTAAAACATAGAATTTACACAGTAAAAACTATTGTGCATTTGTGTTCAATACGGTCTTTGTAAAAATTTTTTGTGTTAAAATAACTAAAATCTGTATCGACCATGTTTAACACAAAAATCGTGTTGATTTTACATAAAATTTTTTACTGTATGGATCATTCTCGATTTTAATTTTTCAGAAAATTTATGCAAGTTTTTTATTGTTTTCAACATTATTTTTAATATTTTTTTAGTACATCCTATTTTTTCTTTTAATTGTTTTAGAAAATTCTGGTTTAAGGAAATACTTCGAAAAATCAAAATACTTTTTTTCTGTACATAACTCATAAAAATTTTCCATCAAATCAAAAATAATCATCCTAAAAATTTTTCATTAAAAACACATCTTTGAAATTCGATAAAATGTTGGTCTTGGATTAGACATCAGAAACAGAATTTAAATTTCTTCAAATAATAATTTTCAAATTAGCTTATTCTAAATAATTCACATTTAAGTTGTGATAAAAAATTTTTTTCAATTTATTTATGATAAAAATCCCAGTGCTCAAATTCGTCTTTTTTTTTCTTAGATAATTTAAAAATTTTTAATAATTATGCCAGAAACGAAAATAAATTAATATCTTCCATTAAATATTTTTTTATTGATTGAATTAAAAAAATATTGGGAAGCATAACTAAATAGATACCAATAAATATTTGAAATTAGGGGTAGTATTAATTCTTATTACCACTAAAATTATACTAATTATTATATTTTCTACTATAAATATTCTTAATAAATAATTATTTTAAAAAGAAGTCGATTAAAATAAAAAACATTAAAAATAACAAAACGATTATTTTTAAAAAATTGAGCTTTTATTTATTTTTTTTTATTATCAGTATTTTTTTTATGCGCATGACTTTTTTAAATACATGAAAAATGATTGATAAATGATAAATGACAAAGAAACAGCGATGCGTAAAGAAGGAACCAATATTATCGATTCCAGGCTAAGAGGAGAAATGAATTTAATGCTTTGTAACTTTACCAACTCAATTCAAGTGACTTTCTTGGGATTCCTGCTTTGATATAATGTTCAACGTTGGTAAAGCAACAACTCAGCAGACGGTTTGATTAATAAGTGATATGATAACCATGTTGTTCAATAGAATAGGTCGCAGGAAGAGCCGCGAGTCCACTCCAAGCGGGATACTATTTTTAAAAAACACAAACACACCAACCATCAATAAAATGACAAATTTAATTTCAAAATCTAGGTCTATAATCTTCATAAAGACTCACCGATGTAAGCACAGCAGGAGCTGCCGCATAAGTAAGGGGTGGAATTGGTGCCACGAAAGAAGTAGCAACTGGAGTGAGTTTGCCAGTTGAAGCTGGTGTCTTCAGAAGTGGGTACTCTGCAATCAAAAGCTGCTTGGCCGCTGGTACTGGAGATGGTCCAGATCCATGTTCGCCGTGTCCAGAGTGTCCGATGTGTCCAGGATGTCCCGGATGTTCTTCATGTGCTGAACTGATTGGAGCGTCATTCAATTCATGTTCTACTGCTTCAATTGCAATTGGTTCGTGGGCTGGAGATTCGTGAGCTGGAGCTTCGTGAGCTTGAGTTCCATGAGCTTGAATTCCATGAGCTTCATGAGTTCCATGGTGAGGCGCAGGGTTTGGTTCTGCTGCTGGTGCCGAGCATGCTGATCCGATTAAGACAGCCAAGACAATCTGGTGAAGAAACAAAGTCCAAATTACCAAAAATTAGTATGAAGATGATTAATATAATAATTAATTGATGCATTGATGATAAGAAATAAATAAATTCACACTTACGTATTGAATCATGATGATACTTTCAGAGAGGAAGTGAACTCAGTAGAGATATGTCGAGGTGGTTTCGTTATTGTGTGCTAGGATCCTCGGTGATCTCAGCTACTTATAGAAGCCAGGCCAGTGCTCGATAAAAAGTCAACTCGTCCAATACCATCGTAGCAGTACTTGTAGTTGCATGACGATCCTTGCAACAGGGCCGGATTATTTCAATACATTTCAGGATCTTCTTCGCAATTTTCTTCTCGAGTTATTCAAAGCTCTAAGGCAAATTAATAATTAATAATAAATTCGTTATTGGTCAGACGGTGAATTAAGGAGGGTAGAAAATAACTTAAAGATTGTTGCGGGTGGGTGAAATGGATTTTGACGCATTAGAAATAGAGACCAGGGGATTTAATGTAAAATATTCCTCCCTGGAAGCCCTATCTGTGGCAAGCAAATTCCTATCTGTATCGTGTAGGTATGGGTGAGGAGCAGAAACTAGTACTTTTGCTTCCCGATACTTTGGACGCGAGAGGTTGTCGGCCTATGAGTCTCTAACTAACGGCCATTACCCCATTGATTTATTTCTTTAGATACACCACGTATCACCTATATGACCTGAAGCTAGTGATCATCCCTTTAAAGGAAATAACTGAAGGAGCTTTTTTGTTTCTCTGTTCTTACCGAAACCGGAAGCAAGCATTTTTCCTTGGTTGTAAACGTCATTGAACTCTTTTAGTCATGTGTTGGCAATTTTTTTTTATTTTCGATTAAAATTGAGACGATGATATTTCAAGTAAAGTAGGAAATAAATTATCGGTATTTGTTTAGAAATGGGTTCCACCCTATTTTTGGTATTAAAATAAAAATTTTCGAATTATTTTTTTTTTTTAATAATATTTTACAGAAAAATTCCATGACAGGGTTTATATATTTACAGTGATATTATAATGTGATATTTATCGAAAATTTTTTATTGAATTATGTACGACATACAACCTTACTAATGGCTGTAATATTGGCCCTAAATTATTTGGATGAATAAATGCATATTTCGGATTTACAATAATAATTATTAAAATTTCAGTTTGTGATATTTTTTTATAATTTAAAAAAAAATTTTTTCCATCGCAAAATTGAAATTTTTTTTTTAAATTAATCTATTTACGATGAACTTGAAAAAAAAATCACGAGATTAAACATCATTTTTATGGGTTGAAATATTGTGGACTCTATTCGCAAATAATAACCAAAAAAAAATTGATAAAATTGAAAAATTAGTGGAAAATATAAAATATATTAGTATTGTTAATGATTTCATGGACAAACCCATTAACTGTAAATATTATTTTTTGTTTGTTGACAACCAATATAATGTAATTTAGTCAGTAAATAGGGTTTATAGAGGATTTAATTGAGTATAAAAAGATAAAGAAATAAAGAGGAATAATAAAAAAAGTATGTTGTTAACGACCGCGTTCATTCACCTGGACCTTGAGTTCCTGTGTAACTTGTTATGGTGTGAGTGGTACATAGGTCCAGATCGAGATCAGTTAAAAAAAGAATAAAAGAATGAAGTAAGTTGAAGTTACGAGTAGGATAAAGAGAAAAGGAAGAAGAAATATCGTATGGGGAGAAGCCGAAGGCTCTCCTCTCTTCTATACGATTGAAAGCGGATAATGTTTTTAAAATAAAAACAAAATAATAAAGTCCTTCGTCTTCAAGGTTCACTCATGTCTCGAATCCAAAAGGTATATAATATACCTACGCATGTACACGTATTATATTTCTCAAAATAATTCATTTTATTGAGTAATTATTATTTATTGATTAAAAAGTAAGAAAATATTGATAAACATTTTTATATGCTGTTTAATAAATATTGCGAAAATTTATTTTCATTCAAGCGCTGTTTTTTTTTTTTTGTTTTTTTTTTTTTTTTTTTTTCATTATTAATAAATATAGCAATGGAAGATTTATTAAATGTAAAAAGAAATTAATAAAAAAAAATTTACTCTTAATTTATACTGTAATATTTTTAAACAAAATCACACTGTTTAACAAAAATCAGCTTGAAGAAAACATTTTTAGAGTTTAATTTTTGACAGGTAATTTTTTACAAAAATTTTACTTGCGAAATTAAAAAAAATATTAAAGCAATTTGTTAAATTATTTCTTCAAACTAATTTGTTTTGAAAGTATATCCAAAAAATTTCTAATGCTAATTATAATATTATGAAGATAAATATTTGTAATAAAAAAAGTAGTAAAAATTGGTTATTCGTCTTTATATATTTGTTATACTATATATTTATATTCTTCAATATGTTAATTTTAAGAAAAAATTTGTAAATTCTTTAATGTTTGTATTTACAAGTCACTGATAAATATGTTAAGTGCTCTACTGTGAAAGCAAGAAAAATCTTGAGCAAAATTCTAGATCTCAAAATTTCAGCTTGAAATCTTTTAATTAAATGTAAATTAATGACAAAAATCATAGATATTTTAAATCTATTTATGAAAAATATAAATAATTAATATAATAAAAATTGTGATTTGTGTAGTTTTTCCTCATTTTTATATCAGGTAATTTCTAAAAAATTAAAAATTATAATAATAAAAAAGATAACTCATAAATTAAACTTGAAATATTGGGTAGTATTGCCGGTAAAAAAATGCCCGGAGGTTAAATTCTAATTAAGAATTAATGTTTCTGAATTAAAAACTCACAATATTGCAATTTATGTGATTTAATTTAATAATCAATTAAAAACTAAATGGACGTTGTAAGATCATCAAAATTAATTGATATTACATTTAAATTAATTATTGATTCATAAGCAATCAATTCATCACCGTAGTTTAATAAAAGGAATCATAAAAAGTCAAGATAAATATTCCGTTATATTAGACTGTAGGGCCATTGCCTTTAACTAAAATTAAAATGGTCAGTAATGTATAAGTATTGCAGTACATATAATACGATTTATGTATCGTTTTAACCAGAAAATTTTTTAGTGAATGAAAACACAGGTAACTTTTTCTATTCAAAGCAGGGTTAACTGGTTGTCGTATATATTTTTTAATAGTCTCATTAAAGTGATTTACGAAGAAGAAACAGGAGCTGAGAATTTGCATATAATCGAGACTTTTCTCTATATTATACTCGAGGTCATCGCGATCGGTAAAAGTACTTCGGTAAGAGAAGGGAGACAATTTTTATCAATCACATAAATTGTCATCTTGATTTTCTTTGATATTCCGCTATCTTCGTTTGTGAAAAGCCAAATAAAAACTTAATTGTTCATACCTTACTAGCAATCTGCAGTTACTATGTAAGAATGACGAATTATGAATAAAAGAACTTTGGATTTGTGGCTATTCGATATTTTGCATTACAATGTACATAACTTGTGTATCTTTTAAATTAATTTAAAAAATAATATTGCTGTGACAGGATGAATTACCAATAATTTAATGGACAAATGTGATGTATCAAACAACTTAAAAAATTGAGTATCACCAATTATATAAAATAATAAAAAAGCACAAATTCACGTCGGCTTTTCTGATGATACTATAAAAATCCTTTTTAACATAAAAACTACTTTAATTATATGGATTAATACTTGATAAATAGCGTCACTAATATGAACAAAACGAAATAAATTAATCGTTAAATTTCATCTAGCGCAAAATCTAAATTTACTTAGAATTAATCCGAAAAATTATCATAGGTAATTTTATTTTATTTTCCATTATATAAGCCCAACAGCCCAAAGGGCCAATAACAGGGCTACTTAATTTTACAAGTTGAAGATTTTGACAGTGTTTAATACTTTAATTAATATTTGGCTCTATATAAACTAAAATTTTAAAATTAGAGTGATTATTATAATCATCAGATGACTTAGTAGCTATAGTAATAAGAAAAGAATATAATACAATGATGAATTACGACTACATATGCAGAGTTACATTTTCCTTTTTTTACTTTTTTTTTAAAATCTAAGATTGTTGTTAACCAGGACCAAGAGTGCCTAGTTCAGGTATAATAGGTTCCACCATTAGGTTCCACGAAAAATACCATCACAACTGTCAGGAATAATAATATTATTATTTAAAATTAGATTTTTTCGGGGAGATTTTTTCCGGGGAGATTTTGTCGTGTCACCGTTGGTTGTGTCCGAAGAGGTAAAAATCCCGTAAAATTCCTAGAAACTACCTCTGGAGTCCCACAAGGCTCAGTTCTTGGACCGGTATTATTTCTAATAGTAATGAACTCGGTAGCTAAGCGATTAATTTATACAAATTATGGTCTGTTTGCGGATGATCAATTCATTTACCTTCATTTCTACGACTATCAACTTCAAGACGCTATTAGACAAATTACGATAGATGCTCAATAGATGCTCAATAGATGCTATCCAAAACTAAAACAATGATTCTTGGCTCAAGTAGGGACAGGAATTTTGGGCATTAGTGTAATAAATTAACTATCACTGGAAATCATGTGAAACCTTGAAAAGGCACCAATTCATATCAGGACCTTTTCAATGATACTATTTGAACTTTGAAAATCCATTTTATCATATAAATACGCAGGGGATAACATTTTTCCTTATTCTCTTGAGGGATATCATTCTGGTTCCGGCGCTCGAAAAAAAGCCAATATTCATGATTTTTTACACAGCAACTACTGTAAATATTAATATAAAATTTATCCAGTTAAACAAATACACTCTTAAATAACATAAAAAATATCTCAATTAGTTTATTTTTAATATTTTTTATAAAAATAAATAACGGGTGAACGGAGATTCTCTAAAAGTTGGTGTGTCGCTGACGAACATGATCATTTTATTACGGCTAATCTAAAATACAAAAATCAAAATTATTTACGTTCAATATATAAGTAGTAATTACATCAACTACGAAAATTATTATTCACAGTATTTAGTTGTACAAAGATAGTAAAAATCAAAATTTTGATTTGGTTGAAGCTGATGCAATAGCTACTATTATGTAGA